CTCATAGCTTGCCATTACAGTTGAGCCTCCAAATCTGTAATAGCAGCGGCATCAGCTTTAAAGAGCATTTCGAAGTCTGCATTTAATAACAGGGAATTAGATTGTCTGGTTGTGACTGCAGGTTATGCCACAACCACTTTCCAGTAAGCAAGAGATGTAAGCCCCATAAGCCTGCAAAGACTAAATAAGCCCAAACACTCGTTGTTATGTCAAACATGTGCTCCAGATGCGAACATCAGTCCGACAAGGTAATGAAGTTTAGATGGAAACTTTCAATACCACAGCAACACTGTAGGATTAGCAGAAACACATGTGATCCAATCAACTCTTGCACACACATGTTCTCGAAGGCAAACGTGCTTACACAATCCCTTTTTTTCTGTCCTACGTAGCTTGTACCAAATACAGACTCTACTTCATTGTAATTCATCAGCATCAGGTTCGTTTTAACTGGTGGAATAATCATGTGTTTGGCTGTTAACATGCACGATCTGTTAAAAAAAAAAAACAGTAACCCTGCCAGCCAGCATCAATTTGGATTTTCTGTCCTCAGATAGATCATTATGCAGGTATACCACATGGTTGGTAGTATAATAAGATGTTTTCCAGATGTGATACACATACTCTGTGTGTCTACTATTTAGATTATAGCCAGGCTACTCATTTGGTGACAATATGGAATATATGTGGTTCAGGCCCTGGAGATACGGTAGATGTTCCTTCCTAGGATGAGGCTAATTGGTGTCACAAAAAGTTTAGACTGTGCTAAAACACCACAAAATTGACTTGCATGTAATTCAGCTTTTTTTGTTTTAATGGTACAGTTGCTTTTCTTGTTTCCTCTGATATTGGTCAAAGCAGCAGCACTGCAGGTGTTTGTGGATGTAGTAGCAGTACCACAGGTGTTTGCCTCTGCAACAATGTGGCCTAAGGCAGGTTGTTTCAAGGCCCAGCAGTGTTGAGAGCAGAGACAGGTTTCCATTGGTCTTAAACTTGTTTTTGCGGCCACAAAAAGGGTCCTGCTTGTGAATCTGATTTTTTTTCTGATTCGTGGGGAATTCTAGAGTTGTTTATAACGGTATATAGCTTGAGGCCAGAACCAACTGCACTTTAAAAGAAATCATATAAACAAACCTTAAAATATATTCAGATGCTGCAAGCAACAATTGCAGTAATGTGATTTTGTCAGCTGCTACATTTTGATGTAAGCGTTACAACTGCCTAGTCTGCATGTTAGGAAATAAAAAAAAACAGAATAATCTCTACTGAGCATTCAAAACCAGAAAGCTTGCATGTCTCTCTTTTAAAAAGGCTACTTTTTTTTTCCTTAAATGATAAATCGACCGTGTGTTACAGTGCAAGGCACTTCTTAACTTCAGTTACTAAGGACTATTTAACCTAACAAAGGGAGTGGAAATTGAATGTCAAATCAAGGCATGACATAGAGAAGCCCCACAGAGTACTGCATGTCAAAGGAGTGACAAAAAAGTTGGTTGTATCGGCTAAACCAATTCAGTGCTTTGACCTTCATGCCTATCCAAAACTTTGAGCACTTAATTAGACTTGCATCGTCGACACTGACACTGACTGCGCTAAGATGTAAAAGTAATGAAACTTCTGCTCAAGAGGATCAATGGTTACTTTAATGGCTAAAGTCTCTGCAACTGTATTTACTTTTAAACAAGATAAATGTTGTTTTGACCCATCAGAATTCCTGTCTAAAGCTTTAGTCATTGGTATTGAAGAGATTTATTCCCCCAAGAATGGGGGTGTGGCTGAACTTCTACATGATTGAGACAGGTGCACTGAAGAAGGCTGGTCAAAACGTGAGGAGAGAAATAATCAAGGTCGCTGAATTATACAAAGTGAGCTATCAGTAAGCCAGAACATGTGTCCTTTAGTGCATTAAAGCAATGGAATGTGTAGTTTAAACTGTGGAAAAGATCCGACGCAGAAAAACAGATGGTTTATATGAACTACGTAAGGACTCTGTTATCCTTTTTGGTGCTTTATATTGGTGATGTAAGTCAACTCAATCAATCACCAAAGACTCTATTGAACAGCAGAGATATGTTAAACAACCACATGATGTCACTGTTTTACATTAATTATGGAGGGCGCACATGTTTCTCTGTGAAGTTATGAAGTGTTTATTCTTACATAGATGAAGTGAAACATTTTTGTTTCTAGTTATTGAAAACATGTTTAAAGTGTTGTCATTACACATGAGTGTAAGATTATATTTTGGATAAGCCTTTCTTTTTTCATCTTTTGAGTGCAAATGTTTGTCGCTTTTAGATGTATTTGAATTTTTATTATTTATTATGATACATCTGAAGGCAAAATTTTATTTTAGGTGCACAATGGGTCACTTAGGAATACATTCAATATGAGTCAGAAAAAGAACCCTTACAAGTTGTCCTGCTTCCCTTTTTCGGCCTGTGAAATCTTATTCAAAGTAATGAGCTTTAAATGATCAGTTTGGGCAGGTGGTTGTTCAACATGAGTCTGCTCGAGGGTTTCTGCTTTTAAAGGATTTATTTCATTGCCATTGTAACTTAGCTAAATGTTGCAAAGTGCTGTGTTCCTGGTGGATTCATGTTCATATACGGAAATAAAACCAAGAGTAAGGTCTAGACCTGCTTTTTGTAAAGTGTCTTGAGATAACACCTTTTATGAATTGGATCTATGCAAATGTTTCTTTATCGATTGATTGGTTGATTGATTGATTAATTGATTGGTTGAAATCAAATCGAATAAGTCGAATTTGAGTATGGAAACGAGCAACAATAACGGTAAGAATTTAAAAAAGGTGAAGACAAAATTATTCACTTTTCTTCTGTACCAGTGCTAAAAAAAGTTTAAAAAAAAGCCATGTCAATTAAAACTTTTACAATAAGAATAAGAGGCCTTTAACAATAAGAGCACAGTGAGAGTGTACTTCATGATAAGAGCTCTTTTCAAATCAAATGTGCACTCGCACAGTGGCCATGCTAATTGCCCAGCCGAAACACTTTCTCACAAACGATTGGAATACATTATTTTCACATTATTACGAATGTATACATGCATCATTTTGTGCACGTGGTCTTTAAGGTGTGCACACTTTTATGTTTAGTTCCCTCTCCATACACATCAGTGTCCCCAACTACACACACACACACACACACACACACACACACACACACACACACACACACACACACACAGCCTCACATTCCAGAGGCCACAACCTCGCCATCCACACTCTCACACACATACCACTGGACCCACTGTTAGAGTCGCCCAAAGGTCACTTAAAGGAAAGCTGAATCGTTTAATGACTAGAGGGCAACAGAGGGTTGCATAATTCTGTATTATGGCCCAAAAACAAAGGAGTCTAGCGTGAGTGAGTTTCTAAAATAAAACTACAAGATCAAAGGTTTAAAACACAGAGGTGTTAATTGTGTTTTTCTTTCACTGGCAGATACATTTTCAATCAAGTTATCTCTCTCACCCCTGTGCAGTTAAAAAAAAATCCAAACATCTCCTGTGCTCAGTGTTACTTCAGGATAAATCATCCACTGTCTAGAGTGTGCAAAGTGCAAAACACTCTGTTCAGAACCCAGGAACATGCTGAGGTGTTGTAATGTTAGCTGTGATGTTAGCAGGCATAGCTGCTAATGACAGGGAGGGTGAGACCACGAGGAAAGTGGGTGGTGTGAACTTTCAGTTATGTGCCTAAGTGCTACAGCCAGGGAGAGCCCAAGGAAAGCCAGACAGTAAATAAGCAACTGCAACTGAGATTCAGCGGCAAACAGTACTTGAAGGAGTTCCAGAGAGGTGACATTGCATTCACTCACAATCAGACATGCCTTGATAATATAACTTCAAAATGAATTGGAGAAACTAGATAGTAGCCACTTTAACATTATGAGTTTTAGAAATGATGTCTGTAGTATTTTAAACGTATCAATTCAACATATCCACATTATTGACTCTTTATGAAATATAGAGTATGACACAAGAGTTGTTGATAGTCCGCTTCATTTATCAAAAGGAGGTGTAATTGCTTTGTGCTTCTTTAGAGAAGTAAATAAATTAGAGGTCACAACCCCTATCTCTACTTTTGTGTATTCATACAAATGTGTTTTGGCCCCTGTAACCCTTTCCAAATCCTCCAGATATTTCTCACACTTGGCAATATTTGTAGTGCTCCTTTTTGGCATCCCTACATCTTGTGCTTTATAATTCTCTTTGGCTTTCTGATTTACCTCCTAACTCTCACACAGTTTTTTTTTCAAAGTCCCTGTACATCCCTGACTGTTTGCCTTTCCAGTTTACGTTGTGTACAAGCCATTCTTGTGCCAGAAAATGTGCTTGCTGGCTCATTGCAGCATTGGTTATATTTATCAGTATGCAGCTTGGGAGCAGCCATAAAGATATTGCACATTCATTTGTTTGCATCTGGCCTTTGACTAGGTTCAGACAGTAGCCCCCTACTCCCCTAATGCTTATAGGTCCATATAGTGAGAAAGGAGTTTAGGCTAATGCTGTATTAAAATTAACTTTTTTTTTCTTCTGTCTCTTAGGAAATTAATACGTCAAAGTAAGCCCTGATATCAACACTCCCCTCAAGTCAATGATAATGCATGAGTGAGACAGTAAAAATATCCCTCAATAGTTAAACCTTCTACACTGCAGGTAGTCGTAGAACTACTTAAAAAACTCTCCTGTTTAATGTAAACCAAGTTTCCACAATCTAGGAAAAAAAAGGGTAATTTCAAGTCAGCAGGACCAGAATATTATGTGCATTTACTATTATGCAGAGCACAAATCACGTCGGATATTGAACGTTTCTCATTTTGAAGCGCGCTGCCTAAAATAACCACCAGCACTCAGGATTTAGTGTTACATTGCTTTGTATCAGATTGAAGAGCTTGAATATGTGTAGCCTGAAAGAAAATCCTCAATAAAACACATACACTCACGAACCCCATAACTCACCTGCAGGCACACTGTGTTATTTAAAGATTTATTTTGAAAGAACAAAGCTCCTCAAGATGATTATCAGTCATTATTATAAAGTATCTAAATACAGGCAACTGAGGTATATCTGTCTTTCTACAGGTGGAGTGAGAGAGAGAGAGTGAGAGGCAGAGGCAGAAAAAAAAGCCTGAGGGAGAGAGTGAAAATGAGAAAGAGGACTTGAACAAACAACAGAGGGAAAAAAACACAGCAGGAAAAATGTATAAAATCTGGACATGACCGCCATTGTAGAAGGTCCTCATGATGCATCATTCATTGCTGTGCTCTCTGTATAAAAGGCAAATGCAAAACTTTCAACCATGAATTATCTAGAATCACAACCTCGAATACATTTTTTTTTTACATAAAATAAAGATATACAAAAGACTTTATCCTACTCTGGGATCCGCTGATTGCTTCCAACCTACTGCTTTCAGAAGTCCCTAAGGATTCAGTAAAACAGCTTAAAATTGACAAAAAAAACATGTATAAAATATTGTGTTTTTGTGAAATTAAAAGGAGAGCAGACAGAATTTTTAAACATTTCGTTAACGAGTACTTCATCCATTTGTAAACTACACCAATCGGCTTTCTTGCCAAGGGAAGGTAGAGACTACAGCACTCTCAAGACTCTCTTTCTATCACTATTGGGTTACCATAAGAAGACTCCACTAGCTCCCTGACACAGACAGAGGACCCGATCAGCAGACAATGCACAAGCAGATCTTTTTTTGTGCTGATCACACAAACAGGAATTAAAGTTTTAATTGGAAAATTTAAATTTTTAGCTTTGGAGAGAGCAACGTTGTTTATAGTACTTATGCTAAGCTATCCTTACTGGCTGCTATATTAGGCATTCTCTTCTACCTTTCATCAAGAAAGCAAATTAGAGTATTCATTAAATTGTCAAACTATTCCATTGATGTTACATTTTTCTTATCCCTCGTTCTCTGGCAATTACATGTACATGTATATAAACGCACACACACAGTAGCACAACAGATCATGTAAGGCATACCAGTTTGGTTGACAGACAGTAGGCTGCGATTACAATGACAAAACAAAGAGAGACATACATTTGCACAGTCACACACAGGAGGCTCAGTGAATGTAGGAAAAAGGGGTCTGGTATCTGTCGATTGTCAGCTCAATGATTCACAACCAGCTGGCATCTAAAAGGCGGGCAAAAAAAACTTCATTTTGGTTTATTATGACAGACTGCTAATGAACAGCAGCCGCCTGTCAACTGCAGTTAAGTCATTAATGATAGATATAGAACAGTATTGTGTAATATGTGATTACGGTTAAATATTTACTGCTCTATTCAACAAAATAAACTCTGGTTTTCCACAAAAATTGACCTATTCTATTTCTAAATATAAACAAAGAGTACATTAAGGGTACATTGTTGAGTGAATCAGCATGTAGTTGTAGGCTGAAACAGCTGAGTTTTATGAGTGGTATTCAGCTCAGTCCCACATACAGTACAGGGGTTCAGCCCTGTTACACTTTTATAAGTATGAGTGGGTGTGTGATGTATCCATATGCCAGTGGGTTTTAGCATTTGTCTGTCTGCCCCTCTTTTCCCAATTACTTGTATAGTTCCTTGACTGATGCACACTCACAAACATATTGGCAGACTAACACATCGTAATAAAACCAGGAAGTAAATAAAGAGAAGAAAAATTGAAACAAAAGGAGTGATGGTATCCAATGAATAGCATAATAATTAGTCTGATTGAAAGAACTACAGTATCAGAGTTGCAGAGACAGTGCTCTGTCTGTCCGCAAGGGTACAGTCCACTGGTCTCCTCATAGGAAGTGCAAACTGCAGTGCCAGTCAACCAGCTCTGGTCAATCCAGTAAAGAGCTAAGAGGAGTTTGCACTTCTATGTTACCCCCGACAAGCGCCCCAACAGTCAGAGAGGGTGGGTATTGTAGGGGTATAGAGATAATCCACACCGAAACAGTCCCAATCCCAGAGGTCTGTGGATCACCACACACGGCAGGTGTTGTCAGGAACCATGTAGCTGCTCTTGTTGCAGCTAAAGGTTTTGGCAAATTCTGGGAAATTCTGAAGGGAGCCAAGTACCCTGTGATACAGAGGGGATTATTAGTTAGGGTTGATATTGCTGGATAACAAAAAAAGATGGTTGATTTTCAATTTACTGAATTTACCTGAATTTACCCGGACTGTGTACATCTACTTTAATAGAATTAACTGCTTGCTCTGGTCGATGTGTTCCACACCACACCTGAAAAAAGAAAAAGGTAAGTTTATACTTTATCTCACCATCCATCCATCCATCCATCCATCCATTCACCCAACCCTACATGGATCCATCCATCCATCTATCCAACCAACGATCCATGATCCATTCATCCAACCCTACATGGATCCATCAATCCATACATCCATTCATCCATTCATCATTCATCCATTCATCTGTCATTTCTCTCACAAAACCTGAAAAAAGACAACGATTAGTACATACTCCATCCAACCCTACATCCATCCATCCATCCAACCCTACATCCATTCATGAATTACCTGAGCAAAGTTTAGGAAGAAGAGTTGATCATGGGAAAGATAAATGCCAGGCAGTGGTGGCTCCTCTCCATGTGCCTTCACATAGTTCTTATATGCCTGCAGTATGAATCCAACACATACATTAATTATTGCTATTTAAATTTTTGATTATTGTTTTTGTAATATAAACACCTAATTCTTAATTCCCTCATGTCATTTCTGTCTCATTGCTCTTCGACATTCACAGTTAAACTTGGAAAATGTACAACAAACCTAGCCCCGTAAGAAGAAATTGTTACTGTGCTGTCTTTATCATCATGTCAAATTTCTGAGGATACAACCTTAAACCACCCCCAAAAACCGAATGTGAAATTGTAAAAACAAGACTGCAACAAGCTTCAAATGGCAACACATCTTAGAATGTAAATGTAATATAGAAGATGGCATGTGCATAATGCGCTGTGAAAGCCCTTACTCTGTATACCTCTGGTTAAAACTGCTGAAACATCATGTCCTCCCTGTTTGGGTTTACAATAGCTAATGAGCCTGTCACTGACATGGCAAAATGACACATCTATTGATGTTAGCAAGAAGACAACAAAATGAAACCACAGACTGAATGCCATCATCTGTCACCTTTAAACCAGGGTTCTCAAACCAAGTTTCTTCCTGTGTTTTCAGGCTCATTACCTGATATGCCTGCCGTATTCCCCCATTGTCAGCAATGTTCTCCCCAAGGGTGTCGTTACCATTTAACTAGAGAGGGGACACAAGGAGAGCGACAACAAAGATTGTCAGGGGAAATAGTACCTAGGTAGATGGTAATTTTTCCTCTGTATCACAGCAAACAGCAGATATCAGTCATTGGTATACAAGTTGTAATTTTCCCAAGGGATAAAAGAAGAATTGTTCAAAGCAGTAGGACAGGAGGAGAGACAAACAGAGAGAGAGAGGTTGATGTGTCAGCACAAAAATAATTTAACATGTATGAGCCTGCAAAAAAGGGAAGAACGATGGAAAGGGATAGGCAGGCAAAGGTAACGGGGAAGCAAACAAATGAGACAAAGAAGAGAAGTTTTTGATATTATTTGATATAAACTATAAAAACTTTCAAAATGAGGAGAAACAGTTGACAAGGACTGTCTAATGTCCGGGACATACATGAAGTCCATTGGCCAGGTCCCAGGAGAAGTTGCTATACTGATTGACGATGCACTTGGACAGATCCAAGAACTTCTCAGTGGATTCAGGTGTCCACCAGTTTTTCAGGTCGCCATCTTTATCATAGTTTCGACCTTAAACAAGAGGCAAATAGCATCAAAGGTCTAAACAATCACCATCTCTTTTTTTTTTTCCAAGACAGCATTTAAAATTAGGTCAATTACTTATTTCCTTCTTATTATATTCATATTTGTGATATTTGGTTGGCTTGCAGTTGTGGAGTGCTGACATTTTTTTAGATAAAAAGCCCAATGAAAATAAGCCGGTGAAATTGTATTGGGATTATGTGATCTAAGGCAGCAAGCAGATATGGCATTTCAAAACACTTTTTCTTCTGAAGTGGTACCAGGTACAGAAAAGGGAAATATATCTATCCAAATAGCAATATAGCAGCCAAAATTGCCTCTGGGAGGATTAGCGAGCAACAGAGTGGAAAATCATACCATTGTCATCAAAGCCATGTGTGATCTCGTGACCGATTACCATGCCGATGCCTCCATAGTTGAGGGATTTAGGCTGGCCTTTACTGAAAAAAGGCGGCTGGAGGATGCCTGCAGGGAACACTGATAGCAGGGAATAAAGAAACCAACTAAATTGGCTTGTCTTTAATATATATATATATATAAATCTGAGCATTTGCTGCTGAATGTGTTTGCATGTGCACATGTGAAAATACCTATTTGGTTTTTGCTGGATGAGTAGAAGGCGTTAACAACAGCAGCTCCAGTTACCCACCTGAAAGAGAAAAGAATGGTGGAATTACAGAATGGTACAGTAAGGTGCACCAAATCACATTCAATGAAAAATATTCAAATTAATCCGTGGATTATAGCAACAGGCTAACATTAGAGTTCCTGCTGTGCCTGGTGAAAGGCTGAACTGTGTCTATGAGTAGGAGTTTGTGTGGGAGAATGTGAATGCAAAGTGCTAAATGCAAGCTAGTGTGTCAGACCACAAGCACCATAAGCATAAAACAATGATCAGGGATTTAAACACAATTGTACATTTACAAACACTGCAACTTTAAAATTAGTTTGTTCACTGAGCATTGATTTAACTCTGCCCCCTCGAGGAAACTTACTCCTCTTTGTTGACTTTGACCCTGAGTTTCCTCAGGCGCTTCTTCTGCACATGCTCCAGGTTCAGTAAGCTGTTTTCGAAGTACTCCTCTGCACTGTAGTCCAGCTAACACCAACACATGCACAGCCAGAGAAAAGGGAGGATTAGCTACGATGAGAGCTATCAACACCTGGTCATATATTCTCTCGCTGCAGCTCATAAAGGCCGAAATCTCACAGAAATGTTTTCAGAAAATTGATATGCTGCCACAATGAACCCACTCTCTACTCTGCTGTACTAAATCAGTAAAAAAAAAAAAAAAAAAGGGAAAAGAGACCAAATTAAATAACTTTGGACACTCACATCTTTGTACTCATTGTCAAGGTAATCATCATCCATGATGTTGTCAGAATAGCCGATTCGTTCTCTAATGGCTTGTGCCTACAGAAAAGAAGAGGCAGAAAGTTAGCACATGTATAATATTTATTATATCCTGTACTGAAAAAAATAACAGAATACCATACATTGCAAAACAACAGTACCTTTTCTTCAGCTGCTTTCTTTGTCTCTGCATCCATCCAGGTCAAATCGTCAAGGTTACTAATGAACACTTCCCTAATGTCTTTAATCATCTCCTCCATCTAATGCCAACACATACACAGACACACAAAGAGAGAAAGAAACAAGAGTCTGAACAATTGCGATGACATTTAATAATAAATTGTAAACCATGAACTAAAACTATGAGTCAACACAAGTCACCCATAGTACGGAAATATTTCTCTAAAGATTCTCAAAGAGGCTCCAGTTCAAAGTATATAAAAGCTTTTTGTTACATATGCTGCAACACAGTCATAATAACAGGCCTCGTGATTTAGACCTCATTATGACACATTTATTTATCAATGTAGAAACACTCAGGGTTACACTTCTTCTGTGTATGACTGTGATGACATCACTTCATATTATTGATATTGTGTGAATGTTTCTGTGACTAATTTTCCAAATGGAATAATACTCAGTCAACTATGGTAATGTATGAGCAAAAGAGAGCGTGACAATGACAGACAGAATATAACAACATGTTTTGTAAGTAACTGTGACTAAATGAATGTACGTACATTCAGTACATCCATGCATCTTAACAAGAGTTTCACGTGCCATTTAATCACAAACAGAAAGTCTCACTTGTTTAAAAATTTTCTACACAAAATTGCATTTCTGAAAATGGTACCAGTTTTACATTCTGCCTCTTGAGTCCTTTTATACATACTTTAATTTACTTGAAGATGCACAGTAGTCTTTTATTGAACAGTGTTTTACTGAAGTCATTCAGAGCCCTCCTAACTCCTATGAAAGGACAATAAAGCTCAATGTTTTACTACCAATCTGATACATTTAGTTTTGTAGTTCTTTCTAAGCAAATCCATGGGTGTAAATAAACACATATTTCTACCTCAGCATACTATTCCTCACACAATATTGGCATTGGCACAACTGTAGAGGTCTCAAGATAAAGACATGTTCTTTTGTATGCAAATTCACATGGCAAGTTTCAGCAAAATCCACATCAAAAGCATAGTTTTCAGTTGGAACCTGTGGTGTTTCTTCAGTGTATTGCTCTTGAGTTTCAAAAGTTTATAAGAATGCGTTTGCACACATAGACAGACTGACTGGCGCCACTAGGATGGCATTATGCTGTGTGCAAATCATGTACTGCAAGGGACAAAACAAAAAAAACAAAAGTAAAAGAATTCACAAAAAAAGTGCCTTAACAAGCATAAATCTGAGAACAAATAAAGGCAGGGGAGAAATACATTTAAGAAATGCGGTTACAGGGAAGGTCAACCTTCCAGATCCTGCAAACCACAGAGACCACAGCTGACAGAGGCATTCCAGTGTCTCATCATATCAGCAGACCCCTCGCTAACACACTGCATGACCACTCGGACAACATGCTGTGGTTCACCACAAAACCGGCACGAACCATACTGATGAGGCTTTTCAGAAAACCATACAGTGTGTGTGTGTGTGTGTGTGTGTATATATGGTAATGTTTGTGTGGTTTCTGTGAGGTTTATGTATGTATGTATGTATAAGTGAGTGTATGCTGTGTTCATGCATACATGTCTGCGATTAGCAGTATGCATAGATGTCTGTTTACATATGAAATCTGATATAATACCTTTCATGGGTCAAATGCAGGGTTCTTACATGTACAATGGTAAGCCTCTTAAACAAATATATCATAATAGTTTGCATTACTATTATAATGATAACCCATTGTGGGCACTTATCCATTGCTTTTTAACTTAATTTGATTCACCCTGACAAAAAGTAAGCAGTTATAATATCCATATATCTAGCAGGCAAATCCTTGAGTAAACAAGGGGAAATAGTATAAGCATAAAATACTCTTGGAATCAAACGTTTATCTTTTCAAAATCCCCTGTAAGGTATACAACTACAGGAAATATTTTGGATAGTTTCCAGTGTTTCATTGCTGTAAAAGCAGTACCTTACCTTTTTTCAGCTGTAATTTATGTTGTGTAGTTTAAATAAAAAAAGAGCTTCATCAGCAATAACTACAACTTAAGTTGTCAAATGATGATTGGACTTAAATATTAAATGTTAGTAGTAAGGTAGCAGAAGTCAGCTGATTTTTGAATCTATTAAAGTAAGCTACTTCATCACTGCTGATCGTGTGTGTTATGATTTTCTGTGGCAGAGGTTCATGTACTGTTTATAGGGCCATGTATTCGTGGAAATGAGCCGGCCCCGTGTGTCCCTTTTCACTGCCACACTCACACACACACACACAGTCTCATTTTCACAGTGTGTGATGTGTGATCCACATGTTTGAGTGGGCAGAGGTCCAGAGGATGACAGTGATTTACTGTGTGTGAGACACTCAGCATTACGACAGATGTTCACAGTCACACAAACAGCCTGGCTTACATTCACTCAATCACATGCCAAAGACTGCACACACACGCACCTGCGTGTCAGGAGGAGGAATTGTAGGTGGATGAGGGCTTGTTAACATAGCACACCTTTATCAGCAGCTTTCAACTCTTGCAAGAACAATTCAGTGCTCTGGTGGACACGTGACAAAATAAAGATAAGGGAGCGTTAAAAAATTAACAACTTCTGAATGTTTCAATATCTCCTTATTTTAACACCCTAACACTGTTAGTGTGAAAGCACATGCTGCAAAGACACAACCAAACATAATGAACAAAAGTGAAACTTCTTGTTGATATTTGTACTACTATTTACTGATATTTCTACTAACCTCAAACCATCTATAAAGCTCTTGTGTGGAACTTTTTGTTTGTTTGGATTTTGGCGCACCTTTTGGCAAAGCGCCTTATGTCTTATCTCAATGCTGATATTGTTCTCGTGCATGTGTAGGTATTCTTTTCAAGCAAGAATCTCTTCCTGCTTTCCTTTATCAGTCAAATATTTCATTCGTCAAGATTTGTTGTGTGGAAAAAGGGCTGTTTTTGCATGTCGCGGCTTTGCCTGACACCTACCCCCGGCAGCAGTTTTCAGGTCTTAAAAAAAAACTGCAGAAATAATCTTGTGGCTGATGGTCTCTTTTGCTCTTGTAGTTCACATAGAGAAATCAGTATTACTGATTTAGTCTGTTTCATAACCAGCTAAAAAGCGCTCACAGCGTCATTAAATGTAAGATAATGTGATCATAAAAGTACAATACACCCCTTCTCACCAGTTCTTTGCTCTTTTCAGAGAAGGCCTCCTGCACGTACAGTCGTCCCACAGCATTGTCCATGTTGTTGTTCACATAAAGTGCACACTGTCGCCACACTGCCGCCTCCGACGTTGTACCTGACATGGCCTGCAGGGAGAGCAACATGCACCGATCAATTTGAAATGCAGGATAAACCACTCAGCATGTTGGTCAAAGAGGCTCGTGACCCTCCCTTCTTTGCACCTTCATTATGCATTACTAGTAATTTAGGACTAAAAGGAAAAAAGGCAGGAGGGAAATCATTAGATCAGGAAGAGAGGTAGGATTAGACAGAGTTATAAATATGTAGAAGTAATATGAATGGAGCTGAGTGTGGGCATCTAGTTTTTATTAGAGCCAAGGCATCTACAGGTTTATTTTTAGCTGTGCTAGCTGGGCAGCTCTATGAATTGCAATGCCAATATCGATCTTTAACACTAAAATTCTACTTGGCCCTTGTGTTCATCTACAGACAGGTGAAGTTTACCTTGCGGAAAGCTTTCCTGGTGTCCCTGTATGCTCTGCTTAGGCTCATCACATTGTTCATAGCAAATCGGCCCACCATGTAGTTCTGCAGATCCCTGTGGAGAGAGATAGGATATTCAAAGACCTTCTCTTACTCACACAAAGCTACGATTTATCAGTAATGGGCGAACAGCTGTTTTCATTGTATGCAGTTTTATCCGCCCCCGCAAACCCACACTCATAAACCAGCTTGCGTTATGATACAGAGTCACACACAGAAGCACACACTCATACAAACACATACCTCTTGGTGTATTTTCCCAAGATGAGGTTGAGTCTTCGGTAATAGTTGGGGGAGTAGTTTATGACCTTTTCTGTGTCAGGAATGCTGATGTTGACTGTACCCATTATCTTAGCTGTGAAGTAACTCCAGTCAAATACCTTCAGGAGGAGTCCAAAAGCACAGAGAAAGAGGAAAACAGAACATTGGCAAGAACTGGGAAGGTAAAAAGAAACCAATTCTGGCAGTTAGTCTATTTTTACCTGTGATTCAACCTCAAGGGTGAAGTTGGCGTTCAAATCGCCCAGCTCCATCTTGTTGTAAAGCAACACTGGATTGTTACGGTCCTCTGGAGTATCAGTGGCCTTGGAGAGAGAGCAAGACAGAGAGGCAGATAATCAAGAAAGCTGTGCTGTAACAACATAAACCTCCTGCTTCCTGATACATGTGCACGATCGCTGTGCAGGTCCAGCAGCAACAAACATAGTTGAAGTCCCCTGGAGACTCCAGGTTCTGTAAATGTCAGAGCTCGAGCGGTGACTGCCTTATAAAATCCAGCAGCCGAGTGCAAGGGAAGTCAAGCATGGCAGTGAGCGGAGCGGACCAGTACAGAATGACAAACTGCGAAAACCTGTTGATGTTTGAGAAAAGCTGCCGTGCAGGGATCAGGCTGGTTAACGACTTGTTTTGAACAGCAGCTGCTCCTGACTTAAGAGCACAAACAGACACAGGCCAGAGATGTTTGGTCTAATAATGGAGACTAATGGTAAGTTATTAATTGAGCGGTTTGAAAACTTTGTTTTTCCTTCGTGGTTTTTCAAAGATACTCCTATTTAGTCTAGAGGGAAGTTGTCAGAGCTGACAAACAATTTGGGCATCTTCTGAAGAAATGCACGGTGTGAATGCACGCTTACATTGGCGATGTCTCTTTCCAGGTCCATAACTCGTACAACCTCCTCCCTGATGCTGGTTTCATTGAAGGTTAGCCCCCGGTCAGTGCGGATCAGCTTAGCCAGGTCAATCATGAATTTCTCGTAGGCTCGACATGCCTGTTAAAGACAAACACACACACACACACAAGCCAGGATATTTATACTATACTAAACAGGAAGGAAACAAGGTCACTGGTTTGGATTCAACCAGTGACCAATATTCACGCACTTGTGGAAACACACGCACACGCATACACTCCTGTAGCCCCCTGAAGCTAAGTGCGGTTAAGTGCTGCTTTCTGCATATCAATCTAGACTCCATGGTAAGCTGTAAAGCAGAACCAGAGCAGAGGATGTCTGCTCTAAAAACACACACATCTGGTGTGGATTGAGGCGCAACCAAATCCATTCTGATTTGCCCCTTTGAGTAACCATCAGTTGCTGTCTTTGAGTGCCTTTTTGTTTGTTACATACATGCATGCTTGCAAAGTCATGTAAGCGTGCAAATAAACACAAAGTGAATTAAAGTTCTGGCATTGAGTTTCCTGCAAATAACTTCAGGGGACATGAAAGCCAGACTCAGTGGCACTGGCCCAAATTAACACATGGATCTGTTTCAGCCAGTATTGGTTAAAAGTCTTCATTATATTTTATGTGTGTGTGTAAACGTGAACCTTCAGCCTACCTCTGCATACGGTCCTGTGCAAGCGTAGTAATCTCTGGACAAGAGGCCGAGATTGGTCTGTTGGTCAAACTGGCAAAGAAGATATTTTTAGGGTGGTTAATCCCCAGGTGGTTGGATGGGATGTGTGAGTGTTTGTATGATTTTTGGTTTGAGGCTTTTCTAGCTTCAGTTGCACACCTACATGAATGATGTGTGAGTTGGAGTCCCTGTCATCAGTGCCAACGAAAAAGTTAACCAAGAGTTGAGCTCCAAATTTTTCGTTCAGCTTGGCGATGATATCCTCCAACCTCCACCTTTTCCCTGACAAACAGAGTATTAAGGAAACGTAAGACCCATGGATTGTCCTTAAAATCTGCAATGTGCTGCTGCTGTTTTTGTTTTATGTTTCTTCGACTTGCACTAAATTGTATGTTTCTTTTTGTGCAACTGCCCAAGGCAAATTTCTGCTTGGGCCAATAAAGTATATCTAATCTGATCTAAAAGTGGGAAAGAAATACTTTACCATAGTTGGTCTCCCAGTTGTCCACAGCCATGGGCCACTCAAACACGTCAGGCAGCATTTCAAGCAAAGGAGCCCCTCCTCTGAGCTCAATTAAACCTTAAAGAAAAGCGCAAAAAGTCCATTAATCATGAATACCTTTCTTTAAACTAATCCAAATTGAGAAATGAATATAAAAGAAGAAAATAAACCTTGATTTGATTCATTTATTCCACTTATTATTAAGCACAGCTAATCTATGCAAATTTGTGCACATTTCAGGAGTTTACTGATGTGACATCTGTGACATAATGCATTTTAAGAGAGCGCTTATTAGAATACCACAAACCCATAAAGCTGGAAGACACTAATTCTTTTAAAACTAATACTTTATTCCAATTTTTCTTGCAGTCTTGAAATCCTTTCTGAGTTTCACTATGCATTAAAGGGAATGAGAGAAACAACCTTTGATGACAGTAAAAGAAAGATGTTCACTTTAGTAGAAGAAGAAAGAAATCTGTGAAAGAAAGTCTGATGCCTGCTGACTCACTCTCATTAGTACAAGACTTGTAAAGGGTCTTGGCCTTGGTGAGCGCCGTGGCTTCCCCCTCCTCTGTTTTTTCAAGGACACCTACAAATGGAGCAGAGAAACAAAGCAGGCATGAAGGAACCAAGTACAGCACGAGTGAACATGTGGAGTAAGAGAAGAGAAGAGAAGGGTATTAATAAACCTAGGTATGATGTGGATTTTTTCATTTATTTTGTTGACAAAATTCTGCTGTCATCCAGGTGCATTCAGTTATTTTAATTAAGGCATGTTGTCTGTCGCTGTTTCAGAAATGATGCCTTCAAACCGCGGCAATACATAGCAACCAGTGACAAAACAGAAAACATGACATTGGAGGTGAAAAAGGAAACATGACATGACTGTATCTGAAGTGGACAAATAATTGAAAACCAATGTAATTTCTTCTCAATTCAATTCTGTATTTTTGTTACTTTTTCAGAAGACAGCTGTTCCAAAGATTGGAAAAAACACAAACTGGCCAATACCTTAATACAATTTCTAGATCGATATCAAAGGATTGAAGACAACAAATAAAGCTTTACATGTGGATATTTTATTACTGAACAGAATTCGGTCAATTCTGATAAGATTTAGCAATTCTGCGACATCGTATCAACACTTGATAGTTTTAAAAAGATGAATGCTAATATCATCAGATGCAACAAAAGCATAACAAGTACACCAAGACATATTTACAGAATGTCCCCTTGTACTCTGAATGACCTATTTTGCTTTGAATTATGGAATACATAATTCAACACAAAATCATAGTTGCATTGTAATTAATGTTTTCATTTGAGTGATCATCTGAGTCGTTTGCCGTCGAGGTCAATGCTGTCACTTGATCCAAAAATTAGAATGGCAACATGCAATGCATATTCGACTCTCTTGTTGCAATAAATTGAATTTTCAGCATGGCAACGGTTTCAAGGTGAGAGCAGTGACATCAGTACAAGAAAGTCACAGCAAAAAAAGCCAAGGTGCAGCAAGGCTGTGGGTGTGGTGGTAAAGTGCCATTTCAAAACATGAGTGAACACCATTGCTTGTTTTATTGCCTCCATTTATTGCCTCTTCAACACCTGTTGTGGGCATATGGATGCCAGTTAGCTAAGCCTTAGGCTAGATAGTGTTACGAGGCAGACAGCTAATCAAAATGAGTGATAAGTGTTGGGGTGTAAAGTAGTTCAGTTCCCGGGAAGGGAGAATGGGACCAACAATACCTTTCCTGCACTGCCTGAAGGCACCGAGTCGCATGTTGTAGCTTTGAAGTCTAACAATTTCCTCAGGATCCTCTGTCGCTTTAAAGCAGCATCGAGCATGGGAATGAGCTTAAATGACTGTTCAGATCATCAAACCCAACACCCACGTGGAAATGTAGGTGTTTGCTGAAAACCACCATGGTGAATGCAAGTGATTTGTTGTGATAGTGTTAGAAAGTCTTTGCCCTCGGTCTTTCTACACAAAGTAAACCTAACACCTACTCACGAGGCAGCTTTAGCACAACTTCAGGGGTAAAACTGTTTGGTGATATGTCATGCAATGCCGAATGATTAAGAACTTGATCTCTAAGACGGCACTCTTGTGCTACAAACACTTTATGAGCCCGTAGCTTCACAAAGTTTGGTGCAGATGGTTCAGCTAGTATGTCAAGGCTCCTGGGTGGCACAGGGCTCTTCTTAAAAGAACATATTAAAAAGGGCTTGACAGATTGAGAGCTTAAATCCTGACTGAGTCACTTCAGTAAGTTCCAGCTATCATGATTTTACAGCCCACAGATGTTAAGTCTGCAGAGATTTGGGAGGGTTTTTTATGTGATCCTTTGAAATCCATGGGATCCAATACCTGGCCAAGGTTCAATGACACTGCCCAACTTGACTGGGCTGAACGGATGAAAAATATCATGTAGGAAAGGTTCATGGGATATATTTATTTGTATGATTCATATATTTTATGTTTTATTTTATTTTTTACCTCAGGGCTGATGTTTGTTTTGTGATTTCTTCTGCATCTCAAACTCAAAGTCTATGGATTGAGTGATAGGACCTATAATGTGTTTGGTTTATAAGGGCTGCATCATGAAAAATTATCGTATTTGGTCTAAACATGTAACTGTACATGCAATATGTAATTGTAAACTTCATGAAAGCCTTATTCATTGTTTATTGAAGAAGAAATGCATTACCAAAATGTTAGAATTGTATACAAGCAGCTGGAAGCTTGTGATATTTACATGTTAACATGTTTCTCATTAGAAATTCATGTGCATTTAAAATAGAGTAGGACGTTTATTTATAAAGTACATTTGATTACATGAAAGCTCAATGTGCTTTACATTGAGGACAAAAAAACACAGAAATACTAGAAACAAAATCTCATTTCAACAATTATGGCTAACATACAGAAATCAAATCAACAAAACACGCACCTAATGTATGACAAAGTCCACACATACATCATCAGACACCACACATAGCAGTCAAACACCAAAAAGCATGGAAAAAATGTATAAAAAAACCTACTGCGCATACAACCAATGACACACACTAACTATCTAACAATGCATGCTTCGGAGAATAGATATGTTTTGTGTTTTGCTAGAGTTGTGATGGACCTTAGGGCAGCAGGTATTTTGTTCCAGAGAGGAGGACCCCAGTAACTAAGGGCCCCTTTTTCCAGCTTTCAATCTAATTGTTCTTGGTATGACTAATAGACCTCAACTTTATGACCCAGGGGCCAAGGTAGCATTGTAGCCTGTGAGCAAGTCAGAAGTATACTGGGGAGCTGAACCATTGAGTGCCTTAAGGATGTGATGGGAGGAAAGTGATTCTGTATGGTACAGGGAGTCAATGGGAGTGTTTTGAGTTGGAGTTAAAGTTGGAGTTGCCTCACAGATTGTTTCAATAGTCAGGCATACAGAACATTGCAGTAACCCATCCTGGTTGAAAGGAATGCATGACTGGGATGAGTTTCCCTGTGGCTGTTTGGGATTTGAATTATCAAAGTTTTGATCTGTTCTGTAAATGGTAAAATGCTGTTCTGGCAACACTGGTGATTTGATCTTAAAAGCTTAAGTCGGAATCCAAAATAATGCCAAGATTTCTGACTTGCATAGACATTGATTCAAGGTGAAGATGGATTTGTTGTCTCTGATTATTTGGACCAACAATAAGTTATTCAGTCTTGTCTGGGTTGTTTTTTTCGACCTCGGTTCAGCTCTCCAGCAGATTCTCTTTGCCATCTTTAATTTTTTTTTCACTTTTTCTCCAGGGTGCTTTTGATGGTCCATGTATTTGTCCGTTTTTTTTCGGAGAGATATGATTTTCATACAACAGACCCAGGCTCAAGGTAGTGACAAATCTCATACTACCTACTCTACCACATGCCCACTAATGGCCCCTCACAACCAAAATGCAACTATTTCTGGTGCAAACATTACACATGACGCAAAGAGAACACAAGAGAACCACAGGCTACATCTGTAGAGAGATCTCAGAAAAGGGCAGGGGGAAGTAGAGCTAAGGTGAGGTGTCCTGATCGGGGCTAGCACTCAACCCTGCCAGATCGCGCTGTGGCTCTACCTCCTGCTTCTCAACATCACTCATACAAGGGAAGAGAGAAGAAAAGAAAACCAAGAGCGATAGATGGGTGGACACAACTATTGTTGGGTTTACATCTGAATCCAACATTGGATTGTAAACCAAATCCAGTACTGGGTTGATATTAACATTGATGTCTTTAACTCATACATTTGAAAGATACTGTTTTTTGTTGAACATGAAAATGTGGTTAAATTGACTTGAACCACCATCACAGGACAAACAGAGTATTAAGTTGAACATGAAAATAAGATGCCTTCAATGGAATCTTTTTAAACATAGGTTTGTACGGTTACTTAAGGTAATTATTTTAATTTACCAACTCAAAAACATCTGGATGGTGTCTTTGGCAACACATGTGGCAGTAGGTTGTCATTGCAGGTGTAAATCTAGTCCTTGTTTGACTTTTCTTTCCTGAGATCCATACAGAGACGCCTGATTTCAATCAGTTTTAAGTCACAACAGGCAACTATTTCTGTGTTTGTTCAGTCAAAGTTACTTTGTTTACTCTGAGGATTTGGATGGAGACTGGCCTCAAAACATAGAGATAATTGGGCCATCAGCTGAAGCCATCATTGTGCTAACTCACTTGATTGTGAGCTCAACATTTACTCAGCCCAATATCTTTAAGAATTCATTAAAGACTCCCAGAAAATACTGGGGTCTTGTTTTTTTCTTGCATCAATCTTCTCATCTAACTCTTGGCAGGAAAGGGAATAAGCCTATTTCTGATAATGATGAACTTTAAATGCCATTATTAATTAAAAGGATCCCCTCTGAACAGAGCTCCAGTATTGCCTGTCACACATACAGATATTCCTTGTAAAAGTTGCATCAGGATATACTCCATCATACTGCACATCTCAATGGCACTCCAGGATCAATACAGGAAAAAGGTTGGCTCTTAAATTACACAGCTGACTGACAGGAAACTCTCCCTGGAGTACAACAAACATCACTCATGTCACTGTGAGTTGGCATCAAACGATTAAGATGAAGACATTTTTCTGACTTTGCCAACAGACAACTCAAACTAAGATGGTTTTCGATAAAGCAGTTGGCTCCCAGTTTATCCCTTTTTTAATCCTTAATTTATATCATGTCACATCTGATAATTGTGGTTCACAAAAACACCTGTTCTGTTTTGATCATTTATGAAAATCCACTCTATTGTCACTAACTGAGCAGCACCAAATTATTCCAAATTAAATTCAATATTAGGTCATAATCTTCTTTCATTCTTGTCACTTGCTTCCACTCATTTCTCTCTGTGACTGGTACTTGTCTCAGTGCTTGCATGACTGAATTTCACTCCATCCTCTTTCCACTCTTTCATTTTCATAATCCTCCCATTTCCTCATTACCATGTGTGCACTATTTATGTGCTCATTTAATCTTAATGAAGTCCTGAGATAGGGACCCTTCACAGGGCGCTTCCTGCATAAGGGCACAGATCATGTGTGTGTG